CACAAAATGCTCTTCATAGGCTCCACTGTTTTCCCCCCCCTCCTCCACGCTCTCCCTCGCAACAGCTCCCCCCCCCCCCCCCCCTTTCGACTCCCCTCCGTGCCCAAGCGCGATCAGACCAAACTCTATCGCTTTTTGGCACGGCATAGACGAATATACACATACAAATCTGTGATATACAGGAAAAGCTTTGTCAGGTCCTACCCCAGTTCCCACGGAGTACCACCACCACGACATTGAGCCCTGGAACCGCTTCCTTGGGCTAAGGAAGCTAATACTCTTTCATGGGTCATGCTCCTATTCCTTTAGTGGAAGGCACCACTGCATTCATCATACGAATATGCGGTCAAAAGGACAAGTTTGGTCAGGTCCTATCACAGTTGGGTGACCGATCGCCTCACAACAAAAGTAATAACAATCCTCACAGCAGATGCCAGAGCGAATTTGAACCGTTGTTCCTAATGCCACATTGCAGACCAGAGTCAGCATTGTGATTGGGACTAGGCACACTTGAGCTTCAGAGAATCAATGAGGGACATTGCAGATATGCATCAAAGCCAACAACCAAACATGTTGAAGGCCAAAGGACAGTGCTGCAGAGCTTCCACCCTGAGAATCGATCAGAAGCATACAAAGCATCTGTCAAACGAAAATAAGGCTCTTGCTGAAACCAAAAATGAGGCCACAGGCAACCAGATTGATGGAACATCACACTCCCAAATGCATGATTTACAATGTCACAAAGATATTTGATCCAACTTCCAAGTCCTTTATTCTGATGAATCACAAAATCACAGAGCTCATCTGTGAAAATCTTACCACTTCCAAATCTCTAGATCGACATCAAAAAGACTCCTCCCTACCGAGAACGCAGAGCACAATACCGAAGCATGAGGGAGCAGGCTAAGCACAAAGTGAGCTCCATGGAGATCTCACCACTTCCAAATTTCTAGATTGACATCAAAAAGACTACTCCCTTCCGAGAACACAGAGCACAATACTGAAGCATGAGGGAGCAGGCCAAGTACAAAGTACAAGAATTCATCTCACCGCCAAAGTCACCACCACATGTAGGTAACTGCAGATATGCGTAGCTGATTGAGAAGCTGAGTTCTCCGCATGCTCCACAACAGGAGCAGTTCACCTATCCTCTTGCCCGGTCCACTGAATGTACCCAAAAGTCCTCCTTCATGATACTACACTCCTCTCAGCGCCTACAATTAACTCAAAGCCATTGAGCGGCGCTTGCATCTTTTGTAAAATCCAAGCTTCTCCTCCTCAGCCCTAACCATGCATTGGATCACCAGTCAAAGCCACAGCAAGAGGACCTCATCCTTGCTTGGCAGAAACGTAGTCTCCTTAAATCCGCTACACATGGTAGTCAATATGTCTAACATAAAATAGGTATTGGTAACACGTTCCCACACACTGAATACCCTACATTGCCGAGATCCCGTGATGAATGCCGTACACTACTACGATCCCACGGTAGCATCTGGGATACTTCAACGTTACGTTTGCGGCCACCACACGAAGCAGCATATGATCGATCAATTCCACAGAGTGCCTTTGTCATTTTGTACACTTGAGCCTAAAGTCGCAAGCAAGTTACTCAATTTCGAGCACACAGTACACTTCTTGACGTTTCAAGGGGACTAGAAGGGTGCCGTTGAGACTTCATGAAAGAAGCATGTCCAAGACTCAGAAGCGTACTGCATTCTACACGCCCTAGTTTTGCCATTGCCTGCTGATTTTTATGTAGTCTAATGCAATAATGGCAAGATAGCTTTGCATCTATTCATTGATTTTCATAGATTCATGTTTGCCACATAAATTCCTCACAAATATTTAGAGTCCTAACGACATATTCCCACTTTTCTCATGCCAATCACCTAGCTAAAACTCTTCTCTAAAAAACTGGTTACCATTTTTCATAAGCCAAAAGTTTTCTATGCCAATGAATGATGGGATCAACAAGCAAGCTAGGCTCCAAAGGAGGAAAACAAAACAAGAGACAGCAATACAAAGGCCAAAAGGAACCTCCCCTCCCATCTCCCTTTCCCTTAGCATACCTGGCTGTGCAGGCAGCAGGTCCTCCTCTTCCCCTGCCAGAAGACCACCATTGTTCTCAGAGTCTCGTGCAGTACGGAAGGCTGGCATGCAGAGAACATCTGCAGGGCTGTCCTGTGCTCCATCGCTCATGAATTCCTTTGTCCTTCCTCTAGCCCTTGCAGCAGCAACACCTTCGTCTCCCGAGAGTTTCAGACCAAGCGTCTTCCCCAGCCGGGCTCTGAGTCCTGCCAAGCCAAGCCTGGGCTTTGCTCCACCCTCGACTTCCTTCTTCACATTAGATGCTGCATCGCCACTGATTGCGAGTTTTGCATCGATCTCCTTGACAGATTCCGCACAATTCTTCACTCCATCATCATCATTCTTCGCATTGCCAGCTTTGTGCGTGTCATCTATAAGCTCCGGGGCGCCCTTCCCCACCCCGGAGACACACTGCTGCACAGGTGCCTCCTGATGCTCACCAGCTTGGCAACCATCTATGTCAGGAGCATCCTGCCGGCTGGGGTTTCTGGGGATTTCCTTCACATCATTCTTCGCATTGCCGTCCTTGCCCGTCTCATCCGTAAGCTCCACGGCCTTCCCCACCCCAGCCATAAACTGCTGTACAGGTGTCTCCTGATGTTCACCAGCTTGGAGATCATCTACGTAAGGATCATCCTGCCGATTAGAGTTCTCCGGGATTTCCTTCACATCTCCCTTCAACCCTAGTTCTGTCTCCTCCTGCTCCTCTTCCTCCTCATCCCCCTGAACAACGACATCTGCATCCTCCTCGTGAACACCACTATTCATGTGTAACTCATCCAGTCTGCCTGAGTCCTCCTGAACTACGGCATCGACTTCTATCTGACCGCATATGACCGCAGCATCTAGAAACTCACCAGCTTCAGCAGGTCCACCACTTGCACTTGTTGCTGCCAGAGTATCCACAGTGTCAACAACGCCAACCACAAATTCAACAGGCTCAGGAAGTTCTTTTGCAGTCTCCTCCTTAATCAGAGTGGCATCATCTGAGCGGCATCCGGATTCTGGGCTTGGAGATTCAGCACAGGAGGAAAGGGAATCCACACTCGTTACAGATGACTCTGCATCAGCCTCCTCCAGACATAATTTTGCACCAGTCTCACCTCTTTCGTCACCTTGATGAGCTAATTCGAGTTTTCTTCCACTCTTATTTCTCTTGCTCTTCCCAACCCGGGGGGATACACTACCATGGCCATTTGGACTAGATAGATCACAAGCATTCTCACATTTTTCCAGTCCCGTTTCCGCAGTAACATCCTCCCCAAACTCCACTGACTGACTATCAATGGATGTCTCCGACACAGCACCAGGAATGCTTGAGACACTGGACTCGTCATCAGCAGTGGTGGCCATCGTATCGGACCCACTGGAATGGTGAGGACAGTCCATCTGATTCACAATAGGATCACCTCTTTTGCCCTCGTGAACTTGCACCACTTCCCAAGATTTTGGAGCACAATCGGAATGTTCTTCCTGCTCTGTCCGTGTATCTCTTTCTTCTGCGCATTGACCTCCATGCCCAGGGAGTTCTCTGACCCTCACTCGCTTACGCTGAGCGTCCGAAATCAACCCCAGGTCCAGCCCCAGCTCCAGTTGTTCTTTTGGTCGTTTTGGGCTTACCAAGGGCATGCTCGGGCAAGTATTTCCGTGACTTCCATTGCTGCCTCCCAAAGACAGACGACTGACCCCTCCAGCAGGAGGAATCCCAGATGGAGGGCCACGCGATGGTTTGCCTTCCCGAGCTTTCCTCCACTGCTCCAGCTTCCATCCTGTTCGAAGCTTTGACCAATTCCGTATAGCATCACTTTGGTCTGCCAACGTCTTCGACAGACCTGGTACTCTGCCCATGCTCATGCTGCGAGTCAAGCCCATCCCAAATTCAGTAGCACGACTTTCTTCTTCAGCTCCATTGAGGCTTAACCGCCCTGTGCTGTTTCTAGAAGGGATGTTCAGAGGACTTGGCATCATCCATGGTCGATCACCTGCTTCGCTACCTCGTGGACTGAACACTGAACGTGCACTCATAGACCTACCACTTTCAGAGGCCACATCGTCATAGTAGTCATCATCGTCATCAATGGTCTCTGTGTCCTCATTCACGCTAAAACTTCCTTCAGCACCAAGTGTCAACTGCGAGAAGGATGGCAGAGACGCATCACCAGTAAGTGGAGACCCCAGCAAGCGTGCTCTTTCAATTGCAGCCAGTCTGGAGGCCAATTCCTCATTCTGGGCTCGGAGTCTCTCGATAAATGCATCCTTTGCCCTCAGCTGCTCTGCAAGAACCCCCGCAGTTGATCCAGAAGAAGATTTTATTTTCTCCTTCGAAGGCAGGTGCACAATATCCCGTGCTGTCGTCCCATAATGGAGAGTTACAATAGTTTCATGAATATCTGATGGACATGGACTGGTACACAGAACCATGAGACTCCTAGCCCGGCCCTGAAGGGAACTCCTCAACAACTGTGTTAACTTGCTATCCCTGTAGGGCACATGGGTGTGCTTCAACGCCAACGCATCAACTACCCTTCGCAGAACCAGGAGGCCGTGATTGATTGTTCCCGCCTGTTTGGCGGACTCATCAGTAGCTCCAGATCGTCCGATGCTCTCACTGCCAGCCAGGTCCACAAATGTCAATCTCCCTCCTGCAGGTGAGATATGGAACTGAAGAATGCAGTGACTACGAGATGACATATGGTTCAAATTTGTGGACCCAACCGACCTCCTCTTCAACGCAGGGGCAATCAACCTCATTACCGTGAAAGGGTCCGACCCAGACACTGTATGGGCACCAAGTGCTCTTCCCCTCTGAATCTTGAGGATCTTCCCTGGCACAGCACTGGCAGCCGCCGCAGCATTTCCACGACTTGAAAGACCACCTTGCCCAGCATCAGAAACCGGAGCAAGCAGGTCCATAACCCGTTCATTGTACACCTCCATGCACGTCACCGTTACAGACATCGCTCCTGCACCCCCTCCTAGCCCCAGACTACCTCCCAGGTGGGCCCTTCTTTCTATTCCATTAGGCCCTTCAACACTTGAATCATGAGCATCCTGAAACCCTCCACTCGGCAATGCCGATTGTTCCAGCAGTTGCTTCAGCGCCAAGTGTGCAATCCCCTCCCCAGGAGCAAACATAGTGTAAGTTTTCCCCGTGCCTGTTGGCCCATACATCATGATCGTTCGATCAGCTCCCATTGTTGCATCCTCCACACTCCTTTGTGCATACTTCGCGTAGAACTCTTTCGTGGACTCTTGTGATGCAAATGACACACCATCCAGAAAGAAAATTTTATCCTGCACTCGTACTGCATTTGGGTGGTCTGGGCATCGAGTGATCACTTCAACCATGGGATGAGTGGGACTGCCACCCCCAACACCATTTCCCATGCCATTCGAAAGTGAGGGAGGTGGCCTGCATCTCAAGACCACTTTAACCGGTGACTCTCTTGGCACAGGAGGGATAATACTTGCTGCTTGAGTTGCCGACCCATTAGGGAGGCAGACACCATTATCCAACTGCAAGGGTACAGAGACAAGAGAAAAAATAAAGCACACTAAGCCTCGGCTCAAATGGTATGGACTCGTAGGCACAGGCTAATGAATATCCAAAACCATATCCCTCACCTGGCCCGCTCTCCAAGTGAAATCAGTGGGAGTGACCTGTTGAGCTAAGTCGCTCACAATCATTCCAAGATACAGGTCGTCAGACAATCGATTAAGCTGCATCAAGATGGAAAATGATAGTCCTTGCCTGCCGTTAAACCACCAGTATCTTTCCGACAGGGGCTCGGCCTACAGGACTGAATTGGCTGACTGCACCAGGGAAAAAGAAAAAAGAAAACCTGCCCATGCCAGTTTTCATTGTTTTTGCGGCTCCTTTTTTATCCACTTGCAGAAGAAATACGCAGTGGGAAAGAGAGGCCTAGAATAATACTGATGATCTGAATCAACCCAATATTCCAGACACTCAAACAGGGACAGAAACAAATACTGATAACTGCCAGTTCTGCCTCTCTTGCTGCAGGGTACCTCCCAGCAGACAATACCGACAGACTGAAACATGTGGGCAAGCGGGCACAATAGCCGCAGGCATCAATGGTAATCACACTCAAAATGTTTACACAATTGTTTGTCGCCAGAATGTAATGATAGGACATACTCGAAGGGAGAGGTCCTTTTAAAAGCTTGTACAACTCGAATAATTCACCACTGCAGAAAGAGAAAGGAAGGGTGCCATGATGGCTAGGAGAGCAGGCATACCATATCTTTCTTTTATTTTGTTTTGTTTCCTTTCCTTTCCTCTTCTTTCTTTCCTTTCTTCTTTTATTTTCTTGAAGGACCACTACCTTTCACATACATCGGCCGCGGGGAGGGTCCCTACTAGTTTCGGAGACCGCAACGAAACGGCGGCCGTCCACATCCATTTATCAACGGCCGCTGCCACCAGGTCTGGTCCACGAAGAATGTGATACAGTTTATATACGCACTTTTCCCAACACTGAAAGAAAGTGGCGGTTTAACAGATCCTTACGGTCCTTGCTCCTTTTCGATTCTGGAGGAGCGTCAGTTCATCCTTTTTCCAGCAGCAAGTCATGATGATACAACATGACTTCCGTGAGTCAGCAAAAGGATCCCTGGTCAGCATTGATTGCTCGATTTTCACAGATACCTTCACTCCCAGCTCGCCTTCCCTATATGATTCCCCTCAGGTTCGGTAAACGAGTCCGCCAGCTACAAATTAGAACACAGAATCCATCGAGAAAGCTGTGCATCATCATTCCATGTCCACCACATGTCTCAATATGTTCATTCGGCCTTATTGGATCAGCATCGACTGGATTTCCCTTCTTATCGCGTACAAAGATGCTTCCTCGTTGTTGGTGAGCCTTCCTGCCTGTCACACCCAGATGGCCCCTGGGACCCACTTACTTGCACAGGCATATCATTTCTTCCACAAAAAGAGACTAAAACAGAGAAAGATGTCATTGTGCACCTAGCACATCTGTAGTATCCTGGGATGCTTTTCTGCATGACGCCTCGTGACTTTCCTCACCGGAGCTTACTCCATGAAACCGGAGGAAAAGCAGGACGTCCACAAAGCCACATATCGAGGTTTGGCAGATAGCATCACCTCCCCACGGAGAACTACAAATTTACAAGTCTTATGGAATGATCTGATGCATCACCCTTGCTCCACCCTTCTGCGCACTAAAAACATTGCATCTGAGAATAATCCAGAGCAGGACTCAGAAATGACAACATATTAAAAGGGAAAAATTGCTCCACCTCTACCCTCCTTGTTTCTATATCTCTAACCTCTCCCACCTACAGATTTACCTCTCTCCTGCATCATGTTCCCTTCCAACCCCCTCTCCTCAGTTTATATCGCGGTTGTGCAGCAGGTCACAGCATAATGCACTTTTATCAAGTTTTATGTCGCAGTGTTGCAGCAGGTCTTGGTGTGGCCTGAGGGCTTGAACATTGGCTCACGAGTTCATTGTATTGCTCCTATTTGGATGGAACCTTGGTGCATTTGAGCTCTCTGCTTGTTACATGACTATCTGGACTTCTGCATGATTTTGCAACTTGGTTTTCTGTATACCGCTCTCACTCATATTCCTTGCAATTTGGTACTGGAGCTGGTTTGTGATCGCCTATCTCCCACCGACGACATTGTTACTTGGTGCACTGACCTCTGTGCAGTGAGAATACATTGGCGCTGGCTTGACATTGCGACACCCGGGTAGAGGGTTAAGCAAGAAGGCTGTGGCAACAGCGTGGGAACTGTGGCGACAGCGGATGTGTGTGTGATGATGAGAGCATGCTGATGTGGCATTTTGGCTGAGGTGGCACTGCATTGCGTTGTGGGTTGTACCGAACCTACGACCAGTCATCGAAATGCACATTGGCTCAATTGGTGAGATATCTGTGGTTGAGGGCAGCTATATCCAGGTACGTTGTTCCCTTACCCTCTCAGTCTCTTCTTACCGTCAGGAAGTGAGTCCAACCTTGAGTGTCCTCTCTTCGTGAGGAGTCGTGAGTGCTCTACCTCGAGAGGCGACATTCTTGCCGGTAGCGCATACCTCGAGAGGCGACATTCTTGCCGGTGGCGCATCTGGCAGGAGAGGGTGGTGCCTCTAAAGGGCCCTGGTGGAAGCACGGGTCACGGCCACCATGCCAAACCATGGGAGTAGTACATCCAGGCCAGGATGCTCTGATAGAGGGAGTGCGGACAGACCAGTCCTATGCAGACGCTTACCAGACCGTCTATAAACATTTCTGGCGGGGATCTGTACTGTCTACTAGCTGTGATCGTCGTCCTCTTTGCGACGTTAAATAATTCCTGAGGACCTTGGGGGCTGTCCTTAGGCCCTCTTCATCAGCCAGATCAGTCAGACACAAGGCTCGTTACACGCGAGGATAAAGAAAGGGCAGAACTGGTCATAAGCATATTCCTGAGCACAAGGGTGGGCCGTTAATGCACACCTTAGACACCGCTGCTCAATGATGCGGACAGGCGCTTTGGATACAGGGGAGGGAGATTACAATTGATGCTCGACTGTATATCACAACCATATCCATTGTGCATACATCTGCTCACATGATTTATTTTTATTTTTGATCAGATGGTGGACAGACTCCAAACACCTAACAGAGCCTAGATTAGTACTGTAGTGTTCTACCATAGCCAGTTCTGACCGAAGTTGCTGTGAGTGAAAATAATCAATATAGGAGTAGATCATGTGTACCGTTTGTGTGAATGCTGTTGATGCTGCCTGAACAGTAGCCTAGGTGACTTGCCAGATATTGTTTAATTTTTATTTATTTTTACAACCTGGTCAGACACATGCTGCAGCAGGCTCCAGTGAGGGCATTAGTGCAGACAGTGTCTGCCTAGCTGATGAGTGGATCAGGCAGCAGTGAGGATAGATCTGTTGGAAAGAGGGTGACACGTCAGGAATAGGATTCCAATCACCAACCTTTACCCCCTGAGGGAGAGAGGGCTTTGCGACTCGAAACAGCAGCTGAACGCTTGCAGAGGGCTAGAGAAGTGGCAGCAGCAGCCAAGAAAGCGCTAGCAGCGGCAACTGTCACTGCAGCAGCTACAGCTATGGCTACTTCTGCTGCTACTTCAGCCGCCACATCTACTCAGATGAGCGTAGGCATGCCGCAGAGTTTGAAGGCCACATCCAGCACAGCGGCGTCAAACAGCTCTTCCAGGCAGATGGCGGGCTCACAGTACAGCTCCCCACCTCCACGCACAAGAGAGGCCATCAAACTCCAGCACGTGGAGTTAACCCGCTTGCCGATAGAGAAGGAACTTAGAGAAGCTGAAAGAGAACATGAGATCAGAACTAGGAAAGCTAGACCAGAGAATAGGAAGGCAGTCAATGCTATCCAGGACATCCTTGACCAGATACTGAGCACCGCAGGGAATGGGAAGAGCTTCCCCATCTCCAACATGTGGGCCCAGTTTATGGCCTCCAGTTTTCCTATCGCCGGATTCCTTCCCGGTGATGCCTAGTCCTACGGTGTCTCAGTTTAGCAGTTCAACAAGCGCCACGTCAGCAGCAGCAGCACAAACTGCTGTTTCTTCATCTTCTGGTCCAGCAGCAGGTGCTACACAACCGCCGGTCCCACCACATGGACAACAGCAGCCGTGGTACCCCAAAACTCCTATGAAACACCCTCAACCTTATCAGAGATAAGAAAGATGAGGCTCTCGACACTTGGTTGAGAAAAGTGTCAGTGTGGTTCAGAGCAAAGAGGACGCCGGTAGAGGAAGACGTGATCACTGCCGGCTCATGTCTGGAAGCTTTGGCAGCACGATGGCTAGATGGATTAGTAGCCTCGAAAGGGTTCGTCAGGCGCATGAATGATTGGGCTAAGACCCATACTCCCGAGAGCTTCACGGAATTGGTAGAAACGCAATGGCACGACCCGCAGCAGGCCCAGCAGGCCACTAACGCATTGACCCGGCTTGATACTAAGAAGTACAAGTCCGGCATGCGCTATAATCCGCAGGTCCTCAAGATCATGCATCTTAGATGTCTTTCCACAGACGTCAAGAACCTGCTGGTCAGTGAGGCCGGCATCAAACCCCTACAGCAAGAAGGCCCTAGATTTAGAGGCTAAGTTCGGAGGAGCCCAACAAACCCCTACAGACGGAAGAAAGAAGAAGAGTCCAGAAGATGCTAGTGAAGGTTAATGCAGGCGGCCACGTCGACGGTGGTCAATCAAAGACTCGTGGGCAGACCCAAGACTCAAACAAGATACCAGCTTGGGTGAGGGCGGATCTGAAACAAGATGTGTAGCGTGACCGCTATTGACGAGGAGCTCGCATCAACTGCACAAGTATGGCCATCACCAGTTTAGATGCAAGAACGTGAAGGTATCGCAGAACATACCTCCCAAAGGTGGCTTTGGGAATTCTTCTTCCCATGGTGGGGCTCCAACTCAACACACACAGCCAGTAGAAGTTGTAGCTGCTTCTACTCCTAAAGAAGTGGGCAATG